GTTTTCCTTTCTTTCTTTTTTTAGCAAAGAACTCATTCTGGGATAGCAGAGTGTAAACGGTTCCCTTTCAGTCGATTCACTCGGTACAACACACAAGTATGGGATATAACGCCCTCGCGTGTCCTGGCTGAAGAAACCTTTATTCACGCCTTTAAAGCAGATGACGTGTGATGACACGGACGGCCCCGCCTGCACATATAGCCGCTGTCATCACAGTCATCCCTCAGTTCTTACGCTCTTCACCTCGCTGAGAACACCTCTGTTGAGTTGGGCTAGCTAGCTGCTGCTAGTTAGCTCCGTTGTCTGCTGACTTGAACTTAGCTTAACTGCCACTGTTTGTGCATTGCCATGGTTACCGGTCCGTTGGCATGCGTTGCCATGGTTACCGGTCTGTTGGTATGCGTTTACATGCGTTGCCATGGTTATAACCCGTTGCCATGGTTACCGACCCGTTGCCATGCGTTTAAATGCGTTGCCATGTTACCGGCCGTTGCCATGGTTACCGACCCTTGCCATGCGTTTACATGCGTTGCCATGGTTACCGACCCTCTCTCCTGATGGCCACATGCTGCCTGATGCTGCCTATTTTCCGAAGATCATGCCTGCATCTTATAGCTCAATGGAGTTTGAGTGTCTGAGCTTTTGCTCCCCTCCTTTTACATCTGAGGAGCAGAGGAGGATGCATTCTCTTTGTCCAGTGCATGTGCTACACACCTACATTGAGTGCACTCAGACTGTGTGTTTATGTGACCAGCTGTTTGTCTGCTTCGTTAATCCAAATAGAGGTAGAGCTCTGTCCAAACAGCTTCTATAATCCAGTGGGACAGCCTCTATCTCACTGGTGAGAGCTCATTCTACCAGGGGGATGGCAACCTCATGGGCTCTTTTTAAAGGGGTGCCTGTAGCTGATATTTGTATGGCAACTAGTTGGGCATCACCACACACTTTTGTGCGGTTTTATTGGTTGGACGTTACAGCCCCTTCGGTGGCTCATGCTGTCCTTTCTGCTGGGTCTACCACTCACTAAGGATGTGGTGGTCCGATTCCGGTTCGGTGGCTCCTCTGTGGGGCGTGTATATATGTCCCATACTTATGTGTTGTACCGAGTGAATTGACTGAAAGGGAACGAATAGTTATGTCTATAACTTCTGTTCCCTGAAGGATAGGAACGAGTTACAACACAAGGTGGCCCCACTGAGCAGTTTGGCTCGGTGAAGAGCGGCTATCGAACTGAGGGATGACTGTGATGACAGCGGCTATATGTGCAGGCGGGGCCGTGCGTGTGTCATCACACGTCATCTGCCTTAAAGGCGTGAATAAAAGTTTCTTCAGCCAGGACACACGAGGACGCAATATCTCATACTTATGTGTTGTACCGCATTCCTCTCCTTCAGGGAACAGAAGTTATAGACATAACTATTCGCTTTCTAGATCCCGCATGAGACCCCAGTGGAGTCCACATTCAGGTCAGGCGTTTGTCTTTGTAGATTGTATGAAATCAGTAATAACAGAGAGGGCTTCCCTATCCTTGGCAGCACGCTATAGTAACAAATATATATAGTGTTTGAGGACGATGTGACACACATCCACAGGCCCTGACATAAATTAATACACTGGAGGGAGCAGAGCTTATGCTATTTTAAATGTCATTTCTTATACAGGTTAACTACAACAGATAGATTAAGAGGTTTATGCAATTCATACTGACATGTAGGGATGCACTGAGTAATATCAATGCTCGTCTTTCACTACATTCACAGTCTGGATAATTCTGAAAGACCATTGTGACAATAAAAACAGAACGTTTTGGCAAGATAACTGCCTTGTTTGCATGTAGGTGCTACCCAGCGTTGCAGACCACATCTACATGCTGTAGTCGTGCAGCAGTTTTTTCCCCCTTTCACTTTGGGCCGTTTAACATTTATTCAATTATTCATAAAATCAGCCCCTGACTGTCACCAATAAGTTCTTGTTCTTTGGAACATCCCTACTGATTTGAGTCAGCATCTATGCCTAAAATCCAACATCAAACATGAAACAAAATAATTATAAAACATATGACCTACAATGTTAATTTTTAAGGTAAAAGCTGTGCTTAAAATCTATGTGTGAATGTATGAAATATTTTAGTTTTTCACTGGCAAGAAATAATATGAAAAGACTGAAGCTCACATGGTTTGTCTTGTTTTCCCAGACATGACTTAATCCTCGTCTTTTTTAGCCGAATTTTTCTTCTTGTCCAGGACTACAATTAATCCATGTCTGGGAAACTGGGTGATAGTGTTTGTCTGACTCTTAATACTTTCCCACTTCCACAGCTTGTTTCTGTTATTGCACCCAGGTGCATTGGTTCTAATTGGTAACGATGCAACAGTCTGACTCAATGTTTCACGTAGTTTGGAACAACAATGGAGCATTATGTTAATACGGACGAGTGGGATATGTGGGGCTTTGAATACAAACAGGTCACTGTGGTACTCAGACTCTGTTTTTTTTAAAGGGACAGTCTGATTATTAGAAAAGTATACCAGACTATTACCAGCTTATCTTTTACACACGCTCAGAATAACTCCTGAGCATTAGTTCGCCTGCTGGTACAAACATATTGCTCGATACTCGATGTAGAAGCTAGCTATCTAACCTTAGCTTGTTTGCTCACCTGTGCTAATTGTGCTGGCAAAATACTATCTGAACCACAGCATGTTTGCTTGGTTGTCCTCATTTCAAGTCTGTTTTTGAATACATGGTCTGAGTTCAAATCAGTGACTAACTCATTCTAAGTTACTGTTAGCTAGTGTTCCTCATTTCCACCGATAGGAACAGACAGACTGATATTAAGGGAACTCGCTCAGGAAACATGACATGCTTTTAATTTATGCAAAGAATTCTACCTGCATCACACAGAAATCACTCCACAGGTTGCAACTGAGAGTCAGGAAGGTCTATTATTACTAGCAATGTCTGAATGATTTGTAATATAACTTAAAAACATCTAACATTTGAAAACTGTCACATTTAACTAGCTTAATAATTAATTATAGCTTTGAATGAACAATTACTTGATGTTTTACATCACTGACCCTGGCCCATAACCTGCTAATCAAACTTCTATAAAAAAAGTTCACAGTCAGAACAATTTTATTTTCATATTTTCAACAACAGTAATATACCTAGCGTGCTGAACTACCCTCTGTTGTGTATGAGATAAATGCAGTAGTAGGATGCGAGGGGTGTATGCATTGGTGTCTGGGGTCTCACCTGTTGCTCTGTGATGAGCCCGGTGTGCGTGCACACGTTGTCATTGGTGTAGTGCAGAGGCAGGCTCTGACACAGCTGTCCGAGCAGCATGGCCACTTCCTTCATTGTCCGCCAGCAGCACACCAGCACCATCTGAGCCGTCACCCTATAGCCCTCACCACCTACAGCCAGCACATGCATGCAAGGTTTGGTTGTCTTATTAAGTAACGTGGCAAACTAAACCTCTGTATGCAGTCGAAACAGGAAGTCTCATACTGTGCTCAAATTCAATATTTCTGTTTGATTGTGTTACACATTAACACTATTCAGTTTCCATTATGACTGTGAAGTTGCACTTGATGCACTTGCAGGGTCCAGACTGTGCATCGTGTAAAGTTACCACATGAAACACTTCCCTCACCAGGAGATCACAGGTACTGCACTTAAAGAGCCAAGATACCAGGAAATGTTTACATTACCTGTGTCAAGTGATGGGGTCTGTGTGTGATCGTCCCCCTGCTGTGTCTCCAGCTCTCTGGCGCTGGTGAAGAAGTCGTTGGTGTCCCTGGGCTGAATCTCCTGCAGGATCTTCTGCAGCCCTGCTGAGGTCTCTGTCCAAAACACAAACAAGGCAAGCTGGAGTTTTTTCATCTGATTTCAGTGTCATTTTTGTGTTATGCATGTAACAGTTTCTCTATTTGTGTTCCAGGGTTCTTGTAATTTCAGCAACTGTTTTCCTGATGAATTCTACAGTGTAGACTTGTAGTTATACTGCACATAGAAGACCTGAGTCATTATCCATGGGGATGAGTCCTTCTGGAGAGGAGCTCTGGACTACAGGGGAGACCACGTCAGACATCCTGTAGCACACAGCAACCAGCTCTGACACCAGGAATCTCCACTGCTCAGTCTGACTCAAACTCCTAAACGCACACACGCACATATATACATGTAATTATCCCATGATAAGAGATCGTGGCTAATTTGAATATTGTGTAGATGCAATTCTTGTCCTTACTCTGTGTTTAGATGCTGCAGGACAGCAGTGATGCAGTGAGCTCTGCCATAGAGAGGAAAGGAAGCAGCTGCCTGCAACAGAGATGCCTCTGCCCTCGACACCTCAGACTGCAGGCAGCGCAGCAAGAACTGAACCACTGAGGACAGAAAGCAGCACAGTTCAACATACGCTATATGCACACGAAATTCTGAGGCTGGTCTGCAAACGTGGATCTCACCTGCCAGAGTGTTGAGCTCCAAAATGAGCATATCAGAAGCCTGGGCTGGTATGGAAAGAGGCTGGTAATCGAGGCCTTGCTGCTGGGCGCAGTGCAGCAAAGACTGGCTCAGGTGTTGCTGGGGGAGCAGCAGGTTGAGGAGGTGGGCAGCTGTAACGCTGTCAAAAGGTTTGGTGCTTGTACTAAGGTCCAAAGCAGCCTGAAGAATGGAGCGCATCCTCTCGGGCACCTGGAAACAAAGAGACCAGAGATCAATGTCTGCACTAAACAAAAACAAGAATTACAAAAATCTAAGAAAAAAAAAGTTTTTTGTTTTTGAAGTAACAGAAACTTTTATTTAGACGCGTGTCAGAACCTCAAGTCCAACAGCTGATGGTGGGAGCTGCTGTATTAACGACGAGGCGAGCTGTTTGACTTCCAGGAAATTGCTGGCGACACAGAAGAGGACGTTCTGAGCATATGTAGAGGTCACAACTTCACCGAGGGCGAAAACATCAGGCTCTGAGAAAACACAGGAGGGGACAGTCTGTGACAACAGGCAGAGTATGCAGCTGACGCAGCTGGAGCACCAGGCTGGCATCAAAATAAAGAGGCTGGCCAGCACCAGACAAGCTGCTGGTTCAGGCACATACATACATGCATTGTGCCAAGAATCACTGTTACTGCGTCCTTGAACACAGCTCTGGACTCCAAACTGTTTCAGCATATCAGAGCCCAACACCACCATCTTTCCGTTTTACCACCTGAAACAGTTTATTAAAAGTTGAGTCTCAGATGGCAGTTTAGCCATAAGGAACTTTAAGGGCCTCATTCTGGTTTTCATTCATTTCTCTCATTTACACTGTTAGAATGATGAACGCTCATGTTAAACATAGCCCAGGTTTTAATGCTGCATTTCGATGTCGCATTAACTCAGCCAGTTAATGCGAGACAAATCCAGCTGCTCATTAAAGCTTTCTGCTTTGATCAGAAAAGAAAACATTGGTCCATACACCTGAAAG